GCCACCAAATTATTGGTTTAAATTTGTAATTATTAATGAAAGTTGATTCAAAATTTTCCATAAATAAATTACTGAAAAATGGGGATAGTGGTGACTTCAAATGAAGAATGAATGAAATTGACAAAAAAAAAATGACAGAAAAAATTAATTTAATTTTCATATACCTGTTTTATCCTGCTATTGTTACACAATTTATTAACATACTCTTTTTTAGGTTCATTTAGGTTCTTTTGATAACGATAGCAGAAAATAGCTATCGAAACGTGAAGGTAATTTTTCAAATTAATTTCTTTACTAATTGGAATTTTCTCTTACAGCTTGAGCCTAAGTGTGTCGCAGGATACCCTCTAGGTGATAGTTCCTGATTACTTTTTGATAAATAATTCGTTCTTATTGCGAAATAGGAGCACTATTTATTAATCTGTAATGAACGACGTGAGGAAATTCTATCTTTTTTAAAGACAAAAATTTTTGAGGCAAAATACCCAAAAAGAAGTTTGTAAAAAAAAATAAAAAATAAAAAAGGTAAATATTCCGTGTGAAATCTTCGCCCTGTTATCGTTTGGGTTTGGCAGGTGGGATAATCCAGGCCTCGTATTCTCCCGGTTACGTTTCAACTGGCGGTAGTGGATATTCTGGAGGCTCTTCTGGGGGCAACGGGGCACCAGGTAGAGTTATACATTTTTGCAGAATTATTGCAACAAAATAACGCTAGTATTCTTCGACTTTAGCGATTTATCCGGGGGCAAGTACAGGGTGTGGAGGCGGCTGTGGAGGAGGCTCTTCTGGGCAGGTTCACCCAGGTGAAATCGAAATTACCCATTAATCTGAAACTGGTTTCAACACTTTTTTCTCAGGGGGGCGTGGCAGTGGAGCTGAAGGGCAAGTCTATCCGGGGGGCCTCGGCTCCGGCGCAGCCGGCCAATGGCAGCCCGACTACAGGGAGAAGCAATTTGATGACGGTCTCTATCAGTATGTAGCACATAGACGGAGTCGGTATCAAGATATAGAGCTTCTTTATTTGCTCCAGTGGAGAAGGGGGCTACTCAGCCCAAGCAGGGGCAGGAGCGGGAGCTCATTCAGGCGCGGGGACTTATGGTGGATGCAATAGTTGCGGCAAATAACTCTTGAGGACCTGAAAGCTAATGTAGATTGAAAGAAATAAAACACCTTTTCCCAGTTTTCAAAGCTTTATTCCAACACTGTTAGATGGGTTTGGGTAGCAGTCGAAGTGTGCAAAGGTGCTACCTAGGGTACAACCACATGGGGCGTTCCATAGTAGACAACAGGGGGGTAAGACCAGTACCAGGAGCGCCAGTACGGGCCCCAACCAAAGTACTAAAAACGAAAATTAGCTAGGATTTTTGGGGATTTTTTACGTACCACCCAGGGGCTGGCCTTCGGATCAGCTTCAGGCAAGGGAGCTGCGAAGCAGCTCAAAACCAGCAAGGAGAGAAGAATCGCAATTCTCTAGAAAAGCGAAAAACGATAGTTCTAGAAAAACATGACTTGATTTGCTCTTTAGATTATTTTCCAAAAACGTTTTCAGTTTCAAGCAATCTTGATTGGAAAAACTTTGCAGTTTCAAGCGATGTTCGTTAGAAGCTAGTGAGTATTTTTCACCAAAAGCCTCTTTTGTGGGAAAGAAAAATTTTGTATGATGGCGAACACCAACGCGAATAACTCGCATATTATGAATATTTAGCTGTTATTGTAATTATATGGTGTACTTAATACGGGGCCGATTTGGATCATTAATGAAATTTCGATCAAAAGCGAGTGATTTTGTCTAAAAACCGTCTTTTACGAAATTGAAATCGGTTGAGTCTCGAAAGTCATAAGAGTTTGAAGGTCGAAAAGACGGTTTTTCAAGACCAATGTTATCTACCAACGTTTTATGTGCGGTTTAAGGTCGCAATTTTTTCGAGAAATCAGCTTTTGCCTGAGGAAATGCTTTCTGCATCAATCTTAATATCGGGACGATTTGGAAATGTTGAAATTTGTTGAAAAACCTTCGGTTTTCTATAAAAACTATCGGAAATTTTCAATCAATTGGCAAACTTCAAAGTGATTATTCGACGATTTTCCGAACAAAATGGAACATCAGATTGTTTGCAAAGGTGTTCTCGACGACCAGCCAAACTGGTTTGAGCTAGTAACTTGAGTTTGGAAATATTTGCGTACGAACTGCCACTTTCCACAAAACCTTCCAGCCAAATATCTACATCTCGAGTCTATAAATGCTCTCGGATTTTTATGAACCTTTGAGTCTTTTCAGCTGGATAGGTTGCGTAGAGCCATAGTTGGATCCACATTGAATGCTCCGAAGGTATACGAAGCTCAGTCATAAAGTCAATTTTTATGTGTGGTGCAAAGGAGAAGATCCAGATTCGATCTCCACGCCTCATTAAGAGCCGTGGAATCAGTCGCTTTATTTTTGCGCCAGTTCTATGATCAGTTTATGCCGATTTTTTAGAGCGTCAATGGCAGAAGAGTGGACTGGAAAATATTAAAAATGAATCCCAAAGTCCGTGATGTTGGAAAACTAGGCCTGAAATCAATTTGCCAGTCAATTCGGTTTAATCTGCTTCGACTCCTTTGATTATGTTTTTCGCTGCAGATTAATCTAAGCTATGAAACGCCGCTGAATCTATTCCATCCTATCCAAATTCGCTATTAGTGAGCTGTTGGGAAAGCGAGTCAAATAGATTGTCAAGGTTTTCTACAAATATTAGCCGAAAGTAAAAGAGCCAGTTAAGAATCGGAACCAGCCATTAAGGCGTAAACTAAAAAATATCACAATAAGAAATGAGGATTGCTTGCTTTACTCACTTTGAACATCATCTTTCAGCACCACAATATTTAATAGAAGGAATTCAACTAGCAAACACCGATTTGATCGGTCATTATATACTAATTAATGATACAAAATAGTGCGACGCGCACGTTGGACTTGGCCGAAAAAACCTGAGAGTTCACCTTATTAAAAAAACTTGTTGATCGGAAATCGTCACAAAATTTCCCGTAGGTACATGGAAAATTTTTAACAAGGACATTCTTACACTTTATAATGGAGGTAAATTAAGCGACAAGGAATCACAAACTATTAAACATGTTTATTCATTCCACACAGCTTAGTATTTTAAAGCACGAACACTTAGGAGGCTCAGCCAATGCGGGATCGAAAGCAAATGCTCCCTGAACGCCTGGATGGAGATAGGCCTGAGTAGCGGCCCCTAGAACATAGGGCTCCGCATACTGAACGTCGACAATCGGTTTATCATCCTGAGCCAAAACCAGGCAAACTGCCAGCAATATCTGAAAGAAGCTCTTAAAGATTTGAATGAGACTAGTTGAATTTTTACATACCAGTACTTTGAAAACCATGCTGCAGCTGCACGGCAACTGATCTAGGCTCAAAAGTCTTGTGTTCCTGTGGTGGTTGAAAGATTACTTTCAACTATCACAGGGACACAAGCTGGTGTATCTTAATGTCTAAGGTTTCATACGGAAAATGAAACCAACAAGTTACCAAATAAATGTGTTTATTTGCATTTAAAAAGTTTATTGAGGGCGACCTCTGCCAAAACCGGGCCGAAATTCGACCTCACCAATTCCAGCGCCCACGTCCGCTTTTTTGTCTGATCCTGGACCTCCAGTGTGCCTCCTAAACACAAAAACACAGTGAGCAATTAAAAAGACACGCTTTCAAAGACCCTACCTGTATCCAGTGCGGTCTTCAGTGCCCTTGGGAAGCATGTCGCTTCGTGGGGCTCCAGCAGGCCTGGGACGTGCACTTTCCGTCCTGGCTTGCCTCTTCAACGTGGAAGGAACGATCTCAGAAGGCAGGTGCAAGAAAGTTCTGAGGTACTCAATGCCTGTGTTGGTTAGGTACCTGCAAACAGGCCATTGAGCTACGATAACCAGATATTTCAATGAAACTTACCAGTAGAAATGTCTCCACGCAAACTGCTCCTTAACGTATCCCTTGGATTTCAAGGACTGAAGGGCCTTGATCACCTGCAAGTTTGGGATGTTTTGCAACTCCATGTGCTTGGGGGCGTGATAGTCCTTTTTGGCCACCATTACACCCTCTCTGAAGAGGTGCTCGAAGATAGCGACACGATTCTCTTTGGGCATCAACATTCTGCAATAGATTGAGGGGCACCTTATTAACACTGATTTAAGGTTAGACTATAAATTATTTTTCGGGGCGGTTTTTACCGAAAATTTAACAAAAAATCCGCAAATAATCATACAGCAATAAACTAGAACATTTTCTAAATAAAACACTGCAGAAATGAAGAAAAAAAATTACCTGATCACTCAGATTAACTAAGAACTGTAGCACACCAACTTCCAACAACAGACTAAACCTTAAAGAAAGACTTCCATTTTGAAAATGGCGCTGATTTGTTATGACTTTTGACGTTGCCTTTCTTCTTCCATTCAAGAAAAAGCTTCCTCTCTCAATTTTTCTGATCAGGAATTAAAATTAATTTAAACAATTAATCACCAAACAATAATGAAACATTGATTTTTTCCGTTAATTACCTAATTTCTAATCGTACCTAAAAGGCAACATCAGTTTCCAGTCTGGTTAGCAAGTTTCAACACGGGCAGAGTTGAGGTTATCTCATAAACGTCAACACCACAGTCAACACAATAGCCATCAAAACATACAATTTTTTAATTGATTACAACTAATTAGTAAGCCGCCTATCCTCATATCAACGAAAATGGGAGAAACCTTTTCTCATGAGACGTTCGAAGAAGGGAACTTCACTTTGTTGACTGCGGAATTATCAAGCTTAACATACGAGAAATTCCTGCTCTTGCTAGGCGAGCTGAACGTTCTGTGAGTAGCCCTAACACTCATTCTTCTCAGCTGAACTGTTCCTTGAATTCAAGAGCTAAAAATTACCTAGACTGCAAGGGCTACCAGATGGTGTTTGCTGTAAACAAGGGCACGGATTCCACGATATTTTGGAAGGCCACCATCCAAATCGCCTGTGTGCGAATCGATTCAGAAACCGGAAAAATTCCTACGTTTCGACTGTTGTCCTTAAGGCAGTTTCTCAAGGTGTTCAGAACGTTCAAATCTCAACTGTTGGCCGCAAGACAGAGCTGCAGGTGAACTTCAACAACATCCATCACTGGTTAAACTATATGAACTGTTTCAGTCACATGGAAATGCGGCTTTCCACCATCATGGAAGGAACAATCAGTCCAGATTCTTCAAATGACTGCGTTATATGTTTCGAGCGCAAACAGGAAGTTACTCTGCCTTGTGCACACAGCTTTTGCTCCAAATGCATAAAGGAATGGTTCGTGCCAGTGCGACTAATTATTGGACGCAACGAAACGGTTTTTGTTGCAGGAATGAGGTTCATGATACGTGCCCCATTTGCAGAGAGAGGTTGGAGAACCCCAATGATGCCTGGGTTATATCCGAAGTCCCCAAAGCTGAAGAAATCAGTTGCGAAATCAAGAAAAGTCTTATGGAACTGACCAAGATGCCAACCACCAGCTGCAATCCCTCCTAATTTTCCTCTTGTGGCACTTGATATGTAAGTACGCCCGCCTAAATTGTTATCATTTGATTTAACTACTTTTAAGTAAATTAATGATTGTTAAAGGACGACAAGCAATTAATTGGTATATGTGTATGTTATATTTTTATCACAAATATAAAAACTAGCTGCTGAAACATATATATATATAGAATATAAAACGGATCGTCGTCTTACTGCCTAAAAGTTGACACGTGTTTAACTATTAGCTTTATCACATTAAGTAATTAACTTTAATAAGATCTAGAACATTTTGACAAATTAAAAATACGCAGAAAACAAATATAACCCCAACAAGAAATTTAATTATTTACACTCTGAGCGGTTTATCTACATCCTTCTAGTGTTGGTCAACGCTTCATTTTTTTCTTCATCAATGCTTTCCGTCTCTTATCCTCCTCCTCTTTCTTCATGTCTTCCAGATCTTCCTTAATACCTGCAGGGGGAGAAAATGCAGAGATCAGCCACTAAAATCATAAACTTTAAAAAGTACCCACCAATCTTGGCACTGATCACTTCCTCTTTCATCTGCTGAGCAAAACTGCTCTCCATATTGTCGACATCCTCGTCCACATCTCTATAGCGCGATTTATCATACCCGAATATTTCCTTGATGTAAGTGGAGTAATCGCCCTCTTCGGGACCATCGTCGATAAAATCGTCCAACTCGGAGTCGTATTCAGAGTCATCGTCATCCAGAATTCGACCTAGAGCACACATAAAAGTCCTCATTCGAGTTCATGGAGGAAAACGACGTATTACCTTTTGAAACCTTAGGCATCGGTCGTTTTACGCCTTTAACATCGCTTGGCGGAAATTGTTTAGGTTTCAATTCCCTCGGAGGAAACTCTTTAGGTTTTGCCTAGTAAAAAAAAAAACGTGGCACTCAACAGGGACGATGAAAAACTAATATGTACCTTTTGCACAAGGTCCCTGGGAGGAAACTCCTTGGTTTTGCTCTTTATGCTTGCACTGTTCTCATCCCTCTTCAGGCCTTCTTTAGTCAAAGCGCCGACTGGCTTAGTGCATTTCAGAGGAAGTTTTGATCCGTTCGAGTGGGACGAATGTGAGCTTTTCAAGGCACTGTTGGCGGCTATCTTGCTGGATTTTTCTTCTGGTCGTTTTGGCAAGTTAACGCTAGGTTTATATGACGAAATTGGTGGCTTGTTTGAGGTCAAGGGCTTCGTTAATTGCCTTTCCAGTATTTTTGAATCGCCCGCTTTTGGTGTGACGGCTTCCTTTTCCATTTCCTTCTGTCTGCGCTCTCGGTGCTCTCTCCACTCTCGTTCCTTTTCCAGTTCCCGTTTTTGCTTCTTTGTGTACAGTTTTTCCTCCTCCTGCGGTTTCTCTTCAATCACGACCGGTTCATGTTGCTTTTGCGCCGCTATTTGAAGCAATTCTGGAACAAAAAACATTCATTACATCTGAAGGTTTTTGGCGATTTCTATCCTACCTTGAAAACTCAACGGCGGAGGTGCTGCTGGTCTCGGTTTAGGTTTAGCCGTGACTTTGGCTACTGGACTGTCTCGGTCGTGGTCTCCCTTTTCCTCATTGTCGATGTCCTCAGCCCCTTCCTGGTGTTTCCTTCTCTTCCGTTTACGCGGTTGCATTGCGTCATCCTTCTCTTTATCCAGTGCTGCTTTCACCCTGTCCTTGGTGCTGTTCAGATTCGTGCTCACTTTCTTCTTCAGCAAGTTGAATTTGGGCTCTTCGGGAATTTCGCTGTACTTTTGCATCATTTTCTCGTACAACGCTGAGGCTTCTTGAGACACGTAGCCATAGTCGTCTTCGTCGGGCTGCTCTGGTCCGGCACGAGTGACGGCTGTATGGGTTTTATCTACCGCCTCTTCCAAGACAGATTGGTTGGCCGATTTCGTTCGCTTCAACATCACGTTCACTCTTCTAGTGGCTTTTTTGTCCTGAACAAAAAGCGGCTTTGCTGAACCGAACAGACACGAACTAGAGCCTCACATACCTGTGCCCTGAGGGCAAGCAGTTCTTCTTTTTTCCTGTTCTCAAGCTGCAGCTTCTGCTGCTCTTCAGCCTCCTTTTTGGCCAGAAACTTTTTGATGTTGGCAGAGAGGTTTTTGTTTTCTTTTTTAAGCTTCTTGGGTGGCTCGAATTTCGTGCTGTAATACCTTGCCTGTAACAAGAAATGATTTGTTATTGTGGACTATTTTGAAGAATCAAGCGGGCGGTCTATCTAGCCCAGACAGTTTTAGTCAACACGAAAGGAACGGGGTTCTGGAAATCGGCAGCTCGATTTTAGGGCTTCAGTATTAACAAAGTTGTGCTCTTGTCGATGTTGAGTAAATTGAGGGCAACTACGAGGTGATAAACATTGGGAAAACGCACCCTAGTGGAGCCATTCTGTTCGTTTTTCTTCGCTTTGTGCAGCAGCTGGCAAAAATCCATGATTTTATCAGACGATTCACCTACGAAGTGATCAAGTTTGGACGGTTCTTTCGATTTTTGAAGCACAAGATGTTGGGCAAGCTCTCTCCAAAGCTGAAAATGTACTGAATGACAGAGACAAGAGACAAGTTGTCCCTGTTCTTGAGACAGATTACGCGTTGTTGCCTCTATACCAACAGGCATTTTGCCTAAAATGTAATCTCACTCACCCATCGCTAAATTTCAAATGCTAAAATGCGAAAATATTACTGTTTTATGTTTGTTGTTCCAGTGTCGGAAACAAGGTGTTCTCTACCCAGAGACAATTAACACTGAGAGAAATAAAACTTTTGACGTGCGTGGTGCTAACTTGACAACACCGTGCGCACAGGAGTAATGTTGCCTTTGGTTTTCTAGGTTAAAACTCGCATAAACTCGAAAAGCTTTGCATACGAAACCTGTGTTTTATATTTCAAGTTTTATAGATTGCTCCTTCAGGTGATCAGACAAATAATCCATATTAATTCTGAGTAAAAATGTAAGTATCGGTGGTTCGAAGCATAAAGCGAGTTGCTGTTTATTGTTGGTAAACTCCCGTTTAGCAGCAACATTAGTTTCACGCTTCTGCTAAATGCCGTGCTAATTCCTGCTAATTTTTATCCAGGTTTGAAGACAGCGAGGACGATTACGACTCAGAGGAAGATGCTGTTATACGGAAACAGCTAAGAAAAGGACGTGAACCAGATGACTCAGATAGTGAGGTAAAGACCAAGCACATGTTTGCCAGCTTGTTTTGCAAAGCGGTTTCAACAGGTTAATTAATGAAAAAACACCTTTTAGGTAGGAGTGTTGGGGGTAGGCTCAGACCATGACTCAGATGAGCAAAGTGATATTGCCGTGAGTGATGTTGAAGGCCAAGATGACGACGACGATCTGCCAGATGCACGCGCTTGGGGCAAGGAGAAAAAGAAGTATTATGGGGCTGATTATGTGGACCCTGATTATGGGGGATTTCAAGGCAAAGATGCCCATGCTGCTGAGGTGGAGCAAGAGGAAGCTCAAGAGTTGCAGAACCAGCTGATGGCGCAGCTGGATGTCAATCTTCTAGAAGTGAGCGATATGTTTAAGGTAATGAAATTAAAGCTTAGAAAACCTGCCGGTCACAAACGACTTGATTGTTTAGAATCTAGAGCCGGATGGCAATGAGCAAGTAGAGGAATTGCTGAAGATAGACTTGTCCAAGCTGACTGCTAAGCAAAAGTTGCAACGGCTGAAGAAAGAGTCACCCGAGTTTTTCGTGATTGTAGAGGATCTTAAAGGTAATTACTTGACTTGAAGTTCTAGTGGATGTTCATAGGCACGGGAATTTTCAGTAAAAATGAACATTGCCAAGGAGTATTTGCAGCCAATTGTGCAGAGGGTCCAAAAGAATGCCATTCCACAGTGCAAAGCTACTGAATTCGTTCAAACTTACTACCGAACCGTCTTGAAGTGAGCTCTTTACCTTTAAGTTATTGTTATAGCATTGTCAATTGTTATATATTTCAGTTATGCCACCAACATATACATGTATTTGTTGCTGAAATGTAACAACAGATTAAAAAATCATCCAATTACTCAGCGTCTATATCAATATAGGCAGCTGTTGAGTAAGATCGAGCCCGTATTTGAAGAAATTATAAAGCCCCAAATTGATTTACTAATGGACCAAGAAGCCCTTGAAGATGTATGTTAATTAAAGTATTTTTTTATAGCTAATATAAGTACAAAATGTTTATTCCAGGGAATGAAGGCCAAGGAAGAAAAAGTTAAATCCAAGAAAATGAGGACCTTGAAACTACTGTCTACATTGCAAACAGCTAGGAAGAGAGTGGCTGATGACGAACAGCAACCTAGTAAAAAGTCTAAGTTTAACAATGAGGAAACGAGCGGGAAAAAGGTCAGCTTTCAAACGGAAGATTCAGAATCAGATGGGGAAATGGCTGAAGAGGGCACAGAACCAGTTGAGAATAATGAAGGTACACGTTTAATAATTATTTTTTATCACATTTAGAAATGTTTTTCGGGCTTTAAAGCCGTGGTCCCTGGGGACGAAACGTCAGCAGGAAATTTCCATGGACCACGGCTTCAAAGCCCGGAAAACATTCCTAAATGTGATTTTACCGGCCGTGAAAGCTTTCATAATTATTTTTTAACCACTCATTCTGCATTTTTCTTTTTTATTATGGAAAAAACCTTTGCTATCAATGTTTTAGCCGCTGAGTTATTTAATTAATAACGAAATATGTGCTATTTTAGAATCTACTAAACGTGCTATTACATACCAAATTGCTAAGAACAAAGGGCTAACACCATATAGGAAGAAGGAACTAAGGAATCCAAGAGTGAAGCACAAGATGAAGTTCAGAAAAGCACTGATTCGTAGAAAGGGCGCTGTAAGTGTTTTGCGTATTGTAGTTGCTGCTAAATTAATGGGCTTGTTTTCAGGTCAGAGAACCAAGACGGGAATTGACCAGATATGCTGGCGAAATATCTGGAATTAAAGCTTATCTTTCAAAAAGCATCAAAATTAAGTCTTGAAGGAAAAGTGTGTAGGTATGTTATAAATAAAGGTTTATTTACAAAGAGCGTGAAATACAATTATTGTTATTACATATTTAATAAAATTTCCATAAGTTATTCCTATATCATATCAAATACAACTATATGTAACAAAGGCCTATTATATCATTAATAATAATAATAACAAACAGTTGTAATAATCAGTATACAGGCAAGGAGGAATAACGTTGGAAACAAGCTCTGTTACATTCTCAACGAGAATATTTTTTTAGACTAGATACAATTTCGTATGCAATCACTAAGTTGAATTAAAAGGAGATATTTTATTGTTGATTTTTCCACGTTTAAAACATGAGGTAAATCCGCAAATTTCACACATCGAGGCCAATAGAAAATTAGTCAGTCTTCGATAAGGTTTTGTCTTTAGCTCGTTATTGTTGCGAAAAACCAATTCAGTCACTAAAAACTTAGCAATATACTATCTACAGTGATATGTAAAAATATGACAAACATCAACGAAATAATGCAGGTTTGATTACTACAATGTTATGGTACATTACCGTGAAGTGTTTATGAATAATTGTGTTACCGGTGAAGGCATTCTGAAGACAAAAATACAGACTTTTAGTAGTACGTACATCGAGAATACGGGTTGTTTCAATGCAACGCGCAAGTTATACATTGCTTCAACCAGAAAAGTAGAAGCAATCATTTTGTAAATAATTCCTACGGCCGGATTAATTACCCGCTAAGTACAAGAACGTCAGCAATATGCACACCTGAAACATCCAGTAAATTTTTGTTCTTGTGACCAACAGCAAAATATTCCACGGGTTATATAGGACGTTTCGAGTCTGTTAACCATTGAGATCCAAGATTATTAATTGAAAGTCTTCAGTTTACATCGGGTGTCCGTCTGAACGCTGGCCAGAGGAAAGCCAGATTAATTTTTCGCGTGCACGATTACTGTTTTTATAGCAGGTTGTTTTTTATCATTCCGATAAACTATGAATGATTCCACTGCTCACCAAATCTAGCAAAACATATTTTGGAAGAAATTGCTTCCAAATGACTCACTTTGCTTCGAGAATGAATGAATGAACATGCTTATCTCTAGTCGCTTTATCGAAAAAATCACTTAGCTAGAATAGCAAGCGCCAAAAACGCTTTTTCCATGTGAGGCTACTCTTATTATCCTTTGGCCACAGATCGGCTGGATACCCGGTAAATAGTGGCTACGAGCAAGACTGGATTTACGTTTCATCTGAATCCGAAGGCGGATCTAGGGCTGTATGCACCGTCACGCTGACTCCTCGGTTAATGCTAACGGCTGGATAGAACACCCCATACAAATCCCGGAATGCGATTTCCCCCTGCGGCTCCTCGTTGACGTAAAACTGCAGCCGATGATGGTTGAGGTCCAGCAGTACTCCAATCGTCGATCCCACATGGATGCCGCCTTCGACCCTCTGTTCATGAGCGCCTGCATGTTGGAACCACGATCGCTGCCTATCAATGTACATGGCCCATCCTTTATCATCCTTTCCTAGATGAAACTCGTTTGTTAACCCCCTCAGAGCCCCAGCGGCTAATTTACCTAGCATTTTATCCCGTGTTACGTCTATTCTGGCTATTCCAAATGCCGGGTCTGTATCAGCGTCGTACTTGTCTATTGTAAATTCCCAATAATGGACACCTCTGCTAAAACCCACGCTGCCTAATGCTACCCTGTGTTCCCACCCTTCGCCCGTTACCAACGTGTTGTCCTCCGAATATTGCAGACCCGGCCCTGACAGAATCGGGTCGAAGGTGAACCAAGCCACTGCAAAAGGGTGCAATTGAGCTGCAGCTGGTTACGACTGAGGCAATTTACCTTCGGCTGTTTGAAGTCCTATCAGCTCGCTGTAGTCTCCTTCGCCTGAACTGTTGAACGCTTTCACTCTGGCGTTGTACATGCAGTGGAAATGCAGCCCGTCTACCGTGCAGATAGTCTCGATTCCACAGTATACTTCCTGGAAGCAAAGGAATTAATAATCGGGTTAATACCGGAACCGATTGCTAGAAGCAAGTTCAAGCGATTCTTAAGCAAGCTGCATATGAAAATACCGGGCGTTAATAAGTATAAGAGATTGAAGATCGTTCATCTAAACTAGGTGTCAATTTAATTAAATTGCCTCTTGCAACTCTCCAATTACTTTCTACACAATGGCAACAAACCGACCCTCCCGTCGCATTATCCCTCTCCGATCAGTTTATATATGACTCAGAAGGACCAAACATGTCGATATGGACCATTAATCTTGCTCTATGGCGACACTTTGATGCCACTTTATGACGGAGCCCCATTCCCTTCGCCCTATTCCGCATAGCTAAATCCTTCAAGAGACTAACAGAAATTTAATTATATTCTTAAATTGGAAATGAACTAAAGCAAGAAGGATCATATTGACCGAATAATTACCGATATTTTTCAACAAGTTTGTCCGCTTGTTCTTTCTGAGCTAATTTGCTCGATAACACCTAAACTATTCAAAAGTCTGACTTGATTTCAAGTATAGAACAAACCACAAATTTATCGGGAAACAACCAGAAAGTCTCGAATCAAATCGAAAACAAATGTTGAAACTGAAAACCAGCCCATACAAATCGGTATTAAAAATTTGATGTTTATTTGCAAAAACGTTCGCAGTTCAGTTTGGTTTCTTTTCCGATCGTTTACCCCATCCTCTCACGCAAATATCGCTTCAACTGCAAACATATAGTAGGAGGTCACCTGGTATTGATCCGTACTTTTTCTATAAATTAGACTTAACGGTAATTAATTGCGAAAAGCTGGGACATTGAGACGTTTCATTTGCCTGCAATCTGAAACGCTGTCTGGGCAAGGAAGTTGGACTTGCAGATACAATCAGGCGACAAGAACATGGAAACGTGCATAAATAGCTCTTAAGCACGTGATTTTCTTTTATCAGAGCCGTAAATTCCGGGTGTGTGCGATCCGCTTATCGCCCCCTTTGATCATTATGACATTGTTGAGAGAAATTCTAAAATGATTGATTATATATTTCTTGGAATTCAGCCCCTCTGAAATTAATTTTAATCGCTCAGATGCTGATTTTTGCGCCCATTGCAAGCGCTGGCCTAAAAATGCAGCCTCTCGAATAAAAATTCACAAGTTTCGACCTGCAATGGGTAGCATTGGTTAATATTTCCACAGTCAATCTAGAACACTTCAATCTGGAAAACCTGAAAAATTTATCTGAATCACATTAAATGGTGATTTTTACGTGTCTTGTAAATGTTGGCGTGAAAATGTATGTTTTACCGCAACTGCAACCTGTCAAATAAAAAAATCACAACTTTCGACCTACAACTCGTATGATCTTAATATTTTTGCAATTTATCGAGCACACTGGAGTCACACTGGAAACCCTGAGAATTTTATTTAAATCGCCCCAAATTATGATTTTTGCGCTCTTTGCAAACGCTGGCCTAAAAATGTAAGTTTTATTGCAAATGCAGCCTCTCTAATAAAAATTCACAAGTTTCGACCTGCATTGGATAGTAACTTGATATTTTCACAGTCAATCTAGAACATTTGAATCTGGAAAACCTGAAAATTCCATCTTAATCACTTGCCGTGCTGATTTTTGAGCGTCTTGTAAATGTTGACGTGAAAATGTATGGTTTGTCGCAACTGCAACCTGTCCAATAAAAATTCATTACTTTCGACCTACGATGAGTATGAACTTGTCGCAACGATTTCGCAGTCTATCGAGCTCATTTCACTCTGGAAACGCTGACAATTTCATTTAAATCGCCTAAAATGCAGATTTATCCGCTCTTTGTAAACGCTGGCCTAAAAATGCAAGTTTTATTGCAAATGCAGCCTATCGAATAAAAATTCACAAGTTCGGATCTGCAATGGGTAGCAACTTGCTATTTTCACAGTCAATATAGAACACTTGAATCTGCCTGAAAACCCTGAAAATTGCATCTAAATCACATTAAATGCAGATTTTTACGCATCTTCTAAATGTTGGCGTGAAATTGTATGTTTCATTGCAACTGCAACCTTTTCAATAAAATTTCACAACTTTCGACCTACGCGGCGTATGAACTTAATGTTTTAGCAGCCTATCCAACTAATTTCACTCTTAAAATGCTGAAAATTCCATTTAAATCGCCTCAAATGCTGATTTTTGCGCTCTTTGCAAAAGCTGGCCTAAAAATGTAAGTTTTATTGCAAATGCAGCCTCTCGAATAAAAATTCACTAGTCCCGATCTGCAATGGGTAGCAACTTGATATTTTCACAGTCAATATAGAACACTTGAATCTGCAAAACCTGAAAATTTCACATTAAATGCTGATTTTTGAGCATCTTGTAAATGTTGGCGTGAAAATGTATGTTTTATCGCAACTGCAACCTGTCCAATAAAAATTCGGAACTTTCGACCTAACGCGTATGAACTTAATATTTTCGCAATTTATCGAGCTCATCTCACACTGGAAACCCTGAGAATTTTATTTAAATCGCCCCAAATGCTGATTTTTGAGCTCTTTGCAAACGCTGGCCTAAAAATGTAAGTTTTTTTCGCAAATGCAGCCTCTCTAATAAAAATTCGCAAGTTTCGACCTGCATTGGATAGTAACTTGATATTTTCACAGTCAATCTAGAACATTTGAATCTGGAAAACCTGAAAATTTCATCTTAATCACTTGCCGTGCTGATTTTTGAGCGTCTTGTAAATGTTGACGTGAAAATGTATGGTTTGTCGCAACTGCAACCTGTCCAATAAAAATTCATTACTTTCGACCTACGACGCGTATGAACTTAACGTTTTCCCAGTCTATCGAGCTCATATCACTCTGGAAACGCTGAAATGTTGTTTTAAATCGATAATGAGATGCTGATTTTTGCGCCCTTTGTAAACGTTGGCCTAAAATGTGTTTTATTCCAAATGAAGCCTCTGCAATGAAAATTTATAAGGTTCGATCCATTAAAAGATGCAACTTGAAATTCTCAGAATCGATCGAAAACGCTTAAATCTGGAAATTGTGAAAATGTGTTTTAAATTTCATCAAATGCTGATTTTTGAGCTCTTTGTAAACGTTGAGCTAAAAATGTATGCTTTACTGCAAATGTAGCTTCTCGAATAAAAATTCATATTTCGATCTAGAAAGAGCAGCAACTTGAAATTCCCAGAATCGATCGAAAACGCCTAAATCTGGAAACTGTGAAAATTTGTTTTAAATCGCATTAGATGCTGATTTTTGCGCTCTTTGTAAACGCTGACGTAAAAATGTATATCATTTCCAATGTAGCGATTTTCCATTTTATAAGCCAAATTTGTAAGTTGAATCCAACTAGTGAATTTTTCGGGTTTTTAGATCGTCGTGAAAAAGATGTTCTTGCAGATGTTTTCCTTTTCTGTCCTTCTTTCCAATTCTGTTCCACCATGCCTTAAAAACACGAGAAACTACTTCCCAGTAAATTTTCTGGCGAAGACCCTCTGAGGATACAAATCACCTGTGCTTTCAGACCGTTGAAGGTTCCTGCTGATTTTCACAGGTTGTGCATCCCACAATTATGAAATCATAAACTTTTACTACGTTTTTTTTCGTTTACTTTGAAAATGAAAATAGCGGCGATAATTTCAAGTAGCTATAGCCTATTAGGGGGTCGATCCCAATACCCGATAATAAACAAACACTCTGCCAGTGTACATAATATTCGGCCATTACCTAAACGTACGCATTCATTAAATCAACATGATGCATCAACTCGGGCTCATAAAGCGCGCATAAATCAATTGCATCTCCGAACTCCAATTGCACCGAAATATTCCATGTGCAGAGTTGGAAAAACCGTAATAATGCAGTGTATCGACTTTCAATTTATCCACTAGTGAAATGAAATAGAGCTGAGGGAGTGATTGTTTTGCGATGTAAACCGGTGGGATTTACAATTCTCCCCGGCAACAATTTGAATTTTTCAACATCCCATTAGAGGAAGAAAATAACTTTACGTTGGAAGCTGTTAACAGGCAGGTGTAAAATTGGTTATTAATTAACCCTAATCGGGCAAACACATCAGGATCGCTGATGAAATTGGGCCTAGTTTACTTTACCTCAACGAGGATAAACTTAAGACGGGACCAATCTAATCAGCTTGGTCCAATGCACGGATAATAATCCAATTACCTAACTAAATCCTGAAAGGTCCTTGTTCTGAAAACTGCACCCTAAACTGCTAATTTAGTCACACAAACCACTTTTATAAAGCCGATGACGGCAAAAAGTTATAAACTGAACGAATGGCCAAGACAGTTTTGGCAAATGGAGTGAATTTCTCGTTCGTAATTTCATTTAATTACTCGAATGAGTGGAAATCGGGAGACGCTTCTGGAATGGCAATTTGGCCGCCGTTTTCGAGTGAACATTTTGTCTTCACGAGATAATTCGAACGCGACACAAACGATTAAATTGGACAAGTACATGAAAGGTACCCTTTAGATACCAAATGCAATTGAGGTTTTCACAAGAGGCGCGTTGAATGAATCCGCTTAATGAATAACCTGGATGTGAGCTATAAAATGTAATGAATCACTTACTCACTGATGGAGATTAGCTGCAGACGAACCTAACAAACTAATGGGTTTTTCGGGTGTTTAGGCCGTCTATCGGTAGAATTTCTTCGTGACGTTTCGCAAGCACGAGTGGCTTGCATTTCATTCAGAAGTGGTTTGCTTGAACGCTTACACTGTTCTAATGCGATTCCTCGGGTGTAGTCCGTATTAGTATGGAATCCGGTAGATTCCTGCAGTTGCGAGAGGGGGTCTTCTGTCTTTAACTGACCCTAGACATTCTCGGATCTTTGTTGTGGGCTTGTAGACTGTTCTTATGTTGTGTTTCCTCAGGGGCCTCCCAATTCCTGTAACCCTCGGAACAAACGGCAGGAAAACTTTCATAGTGGATTCACTTTTTTCCGCACGGTCCACTCCTCCAGCTTTTTTGATGTCCAACTGGGAATATCCGTTCTGAAGAAAAGCTTTTTCCAAGTGCTGTAGTTCCGTTGTTAGATGTTGTGGTCCACATATTTTTCTGGCTCTATCCGTGAGAGTCTTAATGATTCCCTGCTTCTGACTCGGATGGTGGTTACATAGCTTGTGAAGATATATGCCTGTGGGTGGCTTTTCGATATACCTTGTGGTCCAAACAATTCCCCTGCCTAGACACCAAAACATCCAGGAAGGCCAGTTGGTGGTTTTGTTCAACTTCTATGGTAAATTTGATGTCTGGGTGCTGTTTTTTTAGATGGTCGAGGAAGATGTCCAGGTTTTTGCGTCCATGCCTCCATAGCACGAACTTGTCACCGATATATCGGTACCAGATCGTTAGTTTAAGTGCTCCACGCTGTTTCATCAAACTTCTCCATGAATAGATTCGACACCACCGGGCTGAGTGGGCTTCCCATGGCTACTCCTTCCTTTTGTTCGTAGTAATCTACATTCCACAGGAAGTAGCTACCCTTTAGACAAGCCTTGAACAGATTTGTTGTACTTTCTTCAAATAGCTCCGTCACTAATTCTATGAATTCGTCCACGGGTACCTTTGTAAATAGAGAAGCAACATCGAAGTTGACCAGCATGTCCGTAGGTTCCCATCTCCCATAACAGCATGCAAGGAGAATTGGACAGAGCCACGAAGAGACAAAAGAAGAAAGTTGAAAAATTGGAAGCCAAATCTAGAGGAACAACCCAAACGACATTAGGCCTGGACTAAGCACGAACTGTAGTGAACCTGAGCAGTCACTCACTAACGCCTGCGGCGCAATCTGTCTTAGCCAAGGGAGGAAACTTTGTTATTAGCCCAAGAACGATACCAATAGAGGAAATTATCTCGAAGGCCGAACAGCATTGCAAGGGCTCCCAGAACAACTGTCAAATGAAATTCGTCTGGAAACCACCCAAATCCTACGGAAAGCGAAACCACCACCAAGCAACTTAAGCAGAGAAGAACAACATGCGCTCAAGGAAATACAAAGGAACACAAGCATTGTCGTCTTGCCAGCTGACAAAGGAAACGCTACAGTCCTCATGAACAGAGAGCTGTACGAGCAGAAAATCCAAAACATATTGGACCCAGTCACTTACGCAAAGCTCAAAAAAGACCCAACTTGAGCTAAGCTCAGAAACATCAACCGCCTGATCAAAATATCCTCAATAGACCAGGACACCATGAAGAGGATTTTTCGGTCAGAAGCCCTCCCCTCACGTTTGTATGGATTGCCGAAGATTCACAAGGAAGGGATACCACTAACACCAATGGTCAGTGCCTCGGGATCACCAACTTAGGATATAGCAAAATATCTATCCTCTCTTCTGCAGCCACACTTGGGGTCCACAGAAACATACATCAAGGATTCCGAACAGCTTCGATGTTGCATCTCTATTCACAAAAGTACCCGAATCTGCCCGATTCTATGCTCCTGTGGAAGCGTCTACATAGGAACTACTAAGAGATCGGTTGCGACGAGAATAGAAGAACACCGACGGAATTGTAAACTGGGACATGTGGAAAAGTCGGCAGTGGCGGAACACGCCCTCAGCGATGGAACACACAACATCTATTTCGGAGAGGCACAGGTCCTGATAACAACAACAGGCTATCGCCCCCTACTAATACGAGAACCCATTGAAATCTACAAACACAACGACAATTTCAACAGAAAAGAAGAGACAATGACGCTAAAAAGTATATGGTTTCCAGCACTCACCAACGGAAAAATAGCAAGTTCAAGCAAACCACTTCTGAAGATGCAAGCCACTCGTGCTTGCGAAACGTCAAGAAGAAATTCTACCCAGCGACGGCCTAAAAACCCGAAAAACCCATTAGTTTCAAGGAATGGCCTCGAAAGTCTATCTCTTTTGGCAAAAGTAGTTAGAAATTCAAATTATTTGAATAATTTTTGTCGTTTTTTGTGTATTTACAAAGAATTTGTTTGTTTTTCACGCCAAACTGTTCGTTTTTAGGTCCGTTCCCCCATCGAGCCGGTCCAATCCATCCAATTTGTGAGAATCTCGAAACAAATAAAAATTTTTATAGCCAACACACAAGTAAAAAAGTTATGCGATTTTCACCAAAACTACTTTCCGTAAAAAAGGATCCATACGGAATCGCTCATTTGCCAAAATGAAATCGTTGTTTTCTTTCTCTTAAAGCTGCAGATGCAGAACAAATGTTTAAACTCGAAGCTGATCTTGCATCGCGAAAGCATTTTGCTAATTAATGGGGATTAAGAAATCATCGAGAAGCCGACTTACCCTAAAATCTCCACCATTTCCGTCGTCTAGCTCCAAAACGTACCCCTCGACATGACTGTGGGGTGGCGGCTGCCACGCTATTGTTACCGAATTGTTCTCTGCACTGCACTCTTCAGGGATGATTGCAGGGGCAGCTGGCGCTGAATAAAATAAAATATTACATGAAAATGCAATCATTCATCAAAGCCCCATAAATCATGCCAAAAGAAAAATACGCAATGTAGGTAAATGAAGCATGCGTTTAAGTAGTCATTTCCATGCGTCGCTTGGCATTTCCATGCTGATTTACCTGCTGGAACTCTTTCTTCCCCGTCAATGTATGCTAAATCACACAAAATAGGGTGAAACAATGCACAGTTCAATTTGACCGCCTTATATAATATATTAGCACAACGTGGTCATTATTTAGCAGATTATGCATGTTGCATGTGTTGGAAAAACCTTCTAATTATATAAAGTGCAGCAAATAAATCCGCTGTCACTGTGTTCCAAAAAAGGGGCAGTTTGCTTTATTAGTGTACGCAAAACTCGCCAGCTTTGATCATTTGTTAAAAGATAAAACTTTCTTTTTTGTATTTGTATTTGTATTCTCTTCTGTTGCGTTAATCCGACCAAATGACAATTTTGAAACAGAACATTGGCAATAATTTGTCGCCATTATCGAGCCGCATTTTAAATTTTAATCGAATGTGATTATGTTGATTGAACTGGAATCGGCTATGTGGTCTTTTATTTGTTACAGTAAATTATTGGAAATGTTGTTTGCATCCGTGGACGATGCGAATCATTGTTTCGCTTTAGGCACACATTTTCATTTGAAAAACAATTTGGGGTAATGATATTGAAGCAATTGGTTTACACGCAAATAATGCCAAAGTTGCCTAAAGCTGAACGTTGATTCATCGGGTAAAAGTTTGCGATTTCGTTCATTGGCATTCGACTAAAACATCCGGAATTTATAGGAGATAGCATTAACTGGCTGGCAGAACTGAGTATAAAAAATAAATGTGATGAGTGACCAACCAACAGAACAGAAAATTCGCACTCACGTTTCATCTGGATAAAGTTGAGCTGTTCGATGGCCTTCATTACCGATTTGTCATCCAGCGTGAGGTCGAAATGGGGCGAAACTCTCGGCGCTGTCCATTCCTTGTGCCAGGAATGATCAGTATTGGCTACCCTGGATATCAACATGGTCCCCACCTGGGCAGACAACAGAAGCTTTGAGTCAATGCCCAACAAGAACATGGGGAAATCAACCTGTAAGAACGCAGAACTATCGGTCTCTTTGAGGGCCTCAATGCAAAACTGTAGTAAAGCAGTGGTTTGTTGCAGTCGCGAGGTGCAAGTGGTGACTTGTTCCTTTAGAGCCCTCACTCTCACTTCTTTGTCTTGTCTGATGCACTCGATCAGCTTGTCACGCCTTGCCTGGATGGCTAGGATTAGGGCCTCACATTGTGCCGACACCATTTGTTCGAATTCTTCGCAGTTTTCCTTAAATATCAGTTATACATATTAATAGGAACGGGTGTGTACACACTGGATGGAATCAAAGAATCGGTCTTTTTGTATTGAAGTGTGTAATTTTTGGGTTTTTTCAAGCCATCAAAGGTACATTTGACCTAGCGCTTTCGACTATTAAGTCATCATCAGGGCCTGACGCAAACGCTGGCCTAAAAATGTAAGTTTTATTGCAAATGCAGCCTCTCTAATAAAAATTCACAAGTTTCGACCTGCATTGGATAGTAACTTGATATTTTCACAGTCAATCTAGAACACTTCAATCTGCAAAAGCTGAAAAATTTATCTGAATCACATTAAATGGCGATTTTTACGTGTCTTGTAAATGTTGGCGTGAAAATGTATGTTTTAATCGCAACTGCAACCTGTCCAATAAAAATTCATAATTTTCGACCTACGATGCGCATGAACTTAATATTTTGGCAATTTATCAAGATCATGTCAAACTGGAAACATTGAGAATTTTATTTAAATCGCCCCAAATGAGGATTTTTGCGCTCTTTGCAAACGCTGGCCTAAAAATGTAAGTTTTATTGTAAATGCAGCCTCTCGAATAATAATTCACAAGTTTCGACCTGCAATGGGTAGCAACTTGATATTTTCACAGTCAATCTAGAACACGTCAATCTGCAAAACCTGAAAAATTTATCTAAATCGCATTAAATGGTGATTTAGATCAGGGCCTGATGATGACTTAATAGTCGAAAGCGCTAGGCCAAATGTACCTTTGAAGGCTTCAAAAAGACCAAAAATTACACACTTCAATACAAAAAGACCGATTCTTTGATCAATTATCACGTTAAATTACCATCCTCTTATTTATTGCTGAAAAGACTTTCGATCCAATTGGTTTCGATTGTGTTCGAGAGTGGAATTGTTGTTGGGAAGACCAAGCGCGATTGTCTGGCTTGTCGTCCAAGGGATTCATTAGTATAATAAAAACAATAAAAATGATAATAATAGCGTTTATTTCTATTGGACTGTATTTAAATGTTTGTGTAAATATCAGATTTCATTGCACAAATTGCAATGGTGTTTGGCTTTCAACGTGATAGACGATACCTCCTTTCCATATACTTTCCCCCATCAGGAATAAATGTAAAAAGGCAGATGGGCGGTCGAATTGACAAAGCAATTTAGATTTATGACAATTTTGAAAAATGTAGCCGTTTCCTGCTATAATGTGGCGTTTTAAATGCGGGCGATGTCCGCGATTCCCTGTTTTGTTTGTCAGGTTCAGCTCGTTTGTGTGTCCTGTCTATAAAGGCCTGAACTAATGGCTTTTATGGTGAGCTTTCTGGACTTTTTTACTGTTGATTGCAAGTCTCATTTCGAAAATTCTATTCGCTGTTTGAACAGGAATAAGGGTATTTTTAAGCCTCGAACTTGAATTGAAAAAATTGGTACTCTTGTGCTGAATGCTGATGACTTATCTGTTAGATATTGCAAATTTTCCATATAATTTTTGACCATAAATCGTACGTTTTAAAACGGAAAAATTTTATTCTTGCACTCGAAAATTTTTGACTGAGAATATTTTGCTTGGAAAATCGTCTATTCAGCATTAAAGTTTTGATAAATGTCCACTTTTTCAACTAATACTAATTTCCCAAATTTTTTTTTTCAAAAAGTTGCACTCTCGAAACAGTCGAACGGTTGCCAACATTCAGCGTTCATTATCTTCCAAACCGTTGCCAATGACGATTTTTGCCAAGACAGCCGAACTAGCAAATACCCGTGGTAACTGAGGGCATTTTTCTTTTAGAAATATTTCCAACAGTCGCCAAGTTATGGGCAAATAACTGTGCAAACAATGTGGATGGCAGGTTAAGTCTCTCCAAATTCTATTTTCTTCTAAATATAGTTCGTATATAGAAACTATATACGAAATCGATGCTATTGGAAAGTGGCATTTCGGCCTAAATTCGACTCTTAACTGAAAAATTTGCACATTTTTAATTAAAAAAAACTCAAAAATTTCCAAAATTAAAAAAAAAATTAAATTTGCAATTTTTTTTTAAACCATTGAGTTGCACCTAAAAAGTTATCTTAGGGTTAAAAAATCTTGGTGCGCCGCCAAACTTGTAGCAAAAGATCGTGTTTCCAGGAACAACCAGCGCTTCAGATCTTTGAAAATGTAAACTCTCCTGGCGCTGAAACGGTCCCCAAAATGAACTTTGGCCCTGAAACAACTTTTTACGCCAAGTTTATGGGCTTTTTAAGAGTTTTTGAATTTCTGCAAAATATTGATAACTGATCGAGTTACAGGGTAAAGAGTGGAAGTATATCCAAGTTTGAGAGTTTTACCAATATTCAGAGCCCATTTTGTTCCAAACTGTTGCAAATGCAAAATTCCTTAAAGACAGTGAATGTGTCGGGAATATACTTTCGGCCTTAAATCGTCGTTTCGGCCTTAAAATCATCCAACTTCCAAGTTGTTCAACCGATCGCAATTTTCCGAAATACAGTTTTGATAGAAAATTGTACGTTTTTCAACAAATTTCCAAACCAGTCGTTAGGCAAACACCTCAAAGGAAAAGCCATCTACGGTAGAAACCTACATTTCTTCCTTCTTGCTAAAAATTGTTAGAAACAGCCAAAGCCAAATAATGTCTTATTCCAGTTCCAGGAAGCCTATAAAATTTTAATCATGTTAGAACGTTTCCGTATCGGGTATGTCCCTATCGACCTTATTACAAGAAGGGACAAGAAAAAAATGTTTCCGGGCCAAAGAAAGCCCCCGACGCCAAACATTTCCTTTTGTTATCTCTGTTCGTCTTTCCTCATCCCTTCGAGCTTAAAGTGATAAACTCGTTTACTTTTACAGAGAAACCATAAAAATGTTATTGTTCAGGCTACATTAACTGGATCAAATAAATAGCAGAGAAAGTGTGCTGAAGACGCACAGAAGAAGAGGAATAAAACTCATTACCTTTGAGCTCAATTCGTTTGCTTGGAAATCGGTTTGCGTATTTCAGTGTACTTACGTTAACTTTATCACTCATCCCTTTCAGTCGCTGTATGAACTCGGTTGTTGATTTGGCTCGTTCCGACAATTGCTGAAGATTGTGTGAAAGTTCCGTCTGAAACAGGAAACTGGATATTAGACATTTTTCCAAAGATGATCTTCATCGACATTGAACACTCCCTATTGCTGATTTCTGACCCAAAAAATCATCAATCGAGAAGTTTAGAAGGTTTCAAGATAAAATTCCCTTAAAGTTTCTGAAACCGTATTTTCATGCATCATAAACTGCAGCTTCCCACTAAAGGGTTTTTGCGTATTTGAACACACCATTTTCGGAAACAAGTTTCCAAACGACCCTCCGGCGGATTTTGCAATAACCACCAATCCTGATTTATCGCGCACTGAAAATTCGATACCCAATGGTGATAAACCAGAAAAATGATGGGAATTTTGTTCAGACAATAGTTTGGGGCCATTTTATGACCCTCTCTTTAAACGCATAAAATGCTGAAGGAAAACTCCGCCTTTCCGAACAGTCTAGTCGAATAATAATAAATTCGCTTGCTAATTATCAGAGCAAGTGAGTTTCGGACAAATTTTCCTTCTAGCGAGGCTCCTTTATTGACCTGGGGGGCCTTAAGCATTCAAGAGGTGCCCGAAGGATTATCGCTAAGTTCCACGTTTAAACAACGCAACGTGACCGACGTACCAAAAGGAAAAAAGGCGTGATAAGATTTTTCCATTATTTCCACAATGCAGGAAAAGGCTTGGAAGATATTGCCTACATCATTTAATTCCTTATAAGTTTAAACTTGCTTGAACGTGGTGAAACTTCCAATGTTACGCTCTTTGACTCGCTTTGAGGGCGGAAATAAACATGTAATCGATGATTTTACTGGATGCTAGTATTCTTCAGTAAGATCCAGATGGTATCAATCAATATCAGATGGGTGACTTATTAAATAAGCAAAACTCATTTTGTAAAAGTTCCCCCAGCGAGAAAAACGTTATTACGCAATAAAATCGTCCCCCCTTCAACTTGAGCAACTCAATTATTCGTTGTTGTTTCGCAAAAAGGCCATTTTAGGACCAAATTGGCAGGTCGGCCTACAGCAGCAATCATTTAATTAAATCGACAGTATTTACCTGAAAGTAACCATAAAACGGAGAAATGGCCAGATTTATAAGCGATATTAATATTCACATTACAGCAATTCTGCTTACTAATGGACGATCATTAAAAGCTGTATCTTTCAAGCCCCTGGTAGTTTATTGTAGTAATTACTTATTGTTTTCGGGGTTAATTCGACTCCTTCAGGTTGAAAGGGGCATTGAAAACCAATTCAGCCCGTGAGCGGATCACCAACACTAAATTCAAAATTACGTAAACTAATGCAAAAGAAATCATGGCAGGGCAACGATAACGGCTTTTATGGGGACTTAAAGGGTCTCCATAGAAACACCCTTGCATCTTTCTGAAAGAGATTTGCCGGAAAATTCGTGAAAATTTTCCTCGTTGATGTCTGCTGCAGTTCTTCCGTCTTTATTCTGTTAGATAATCGTCCTGCTTGATTTCACTCCTACTGTCTCAGGGGCAGAAGCAGCACAAGGGTGTTGAACAGTTTACAAGGAGGCGAGAGGCAATAGGATTATCTCCAGTGGGTTTGACTTTCCAGAGAAAATCATTGTTTTTCCTCATTTTAACTGTTTGATTGAGTGATTTTCCCAAATGCTTGACTCAATTGCTGACATAGTTCAGCCACAAATTTCTCTACAGGGCGTTAAACCATTGAACTGTTGCTTTCGAATCATCCTTTATAAAGCCCCCTGAAGAACTGGACAGGTCGGGCCACTGTTTCGATGTTTAAATCAGACTAATGGATGATTTTCGGCTGTAAACAAGATCGAAAGTACGTCGAACATCCCTGCTGGATGTCGGGGTGTAATGTGACTCTTAATTTCACGGTAGATTACGCAATGTGCTCGGATCCGGATCCGGTCGTCCGAGAATGGCCAGTTTATACATTCTGTAAACATTGATCGGACATATTTGGGGGGGTAAATCAAAGCTCAACTTCCGAGACGCCCCCTAATTTGCTGCCCTTCGATTTGTTGTTGATTGAGTTTCAACTCCAACGTGCACCGGAACATGACCAAATGGAGCATCAGAGCAGTGAAACTGTTCGAATGAAGTGTTCCTGATTGTATTTGAATAAGCGACAAACAGGGACTGATGTTGAGGCAAATGATTAGAAGTTAGCTAAGAACGGATCAATTCGATCATATTCAGGTATTCTTGAAACGGTGTTTGCGATGTTGATATGACTGGCTGAAAGTTGGATTCTGATGCCCATTTAACTGTACCGTCCACCGGCAGGAGAAAATTTTCCTTTATTCCGGCAGGGTGGCCGGGCAGTAAATACAAATATTAAATGTATGAGGAATCATTTTGTGTATGACAATTTTTTCTATCAGTATTTTATTTATTATCATTAATTTTATGCGGTGTTTCAATGCGTTAATTAATTATTTCGTGATAACAAATTGTTTCAAACATTATTCGCACTTAAGACGATATTTTTTATTGAAGGAGGCAGCAGATATTTACGAAGTTGTCAAAACTGGGGTTTTGGGGCGATTTGAGTGATCTTTTTATCATTCTCACATTCAAATATTTTCTCGAGATTTTGAATTCAAGTTACTACTAGCTTTGTATTGGAAGTTACGATTTTTTCAAGCATCGGGTGCAGTTGAGTGAAAAGTTTAATTTTCAAGTTAATATTTACTAAGTCAGTAAAAATCCATTTTGGGAGATTTTAATAATATTTTCAGCGCGTTCAAATTCACGTTTCCTTGTCAACTTTTGAAAGTGTCAACTTGGTACACGCATTAAATCAGCAGTTAGGAAGTTTTAAAGAGGGTGCAATTGATTGCAAAAAGTTATTTTCAGGTCAACATTTACCAAGTCGGTAAAAATCAGGATAGAAAGCGATCTGAATGAAATTTCGCATTCAATTATCTTCTGTAGACTGTCAAAGTTTCAAAGTCACTGCGTGTTTTAGATTGGAAGTTTCGGATTTTTTAAGCAGCGGCTGCAGTTGAGTGAAATGTTTCATTAATATTCACTAAATACAAGTCACTAAAAACCTGTATATTAGAAGATTTCAATGAAAAAATGAACACTTTGACACTCATTTGTTGGCTTCAGAGTGTGAAACTCGCAAGTTGGTACTTGCGTTCGATCGGCAGTTTGGAACTTTTAAAGTAGATGGTACTATTGATTGCAAACGGGTATGTTTAGGTTCATATTTACCAAGTCGATAAAAATTCGGAATCACGGCGAATTGAAATACATTTTCAATACTTTAGGATTCATTTGTTTTCTGCTGATTGTGAAACTTTGGCAGTTTCAATACTACTTGCGTGATATTGGAATTGTCAAATTTTTCAACCCGCGGGTGCTGGTTAGTGGAAACTTTTACTTTCAAGTTAGTATTCAAGGAGTCGGTAAAAATCTGCATAAGAAGCGATTCAAATGAAATTCTCAGTGCTTTCGAAGTCACGGGTCGTTGTCAAAGTGTGAAAAATTAAAGTTGGTACCTGCTTTAGATCAGAAGTTACGAATTTTTAAAGCAGAGGGTGCCATTCATTGCAAACAATTATTTTTAGGTCAACATTTACCTAGTCGGTGAAAATCAGGATAGGGAGCCATTTGAATTAAATTGCAAGCACTTTAGGATTCAATTATCTTCTGTAGTCTGTCAAAGTTTGAAGTCACTACGTGTTTTAGACTGGAAGTTACGAATTTTTCAAGCAGCAGCGCCAGATGATTGAAAGTTTCATTTTCAAGTTATTATTTACCAAGTTACTAAAAATCTGTATAGGTATTGGACGATTTCAATTAGAAATTGAGCACTTTGAAATTCATGTCTTAGCTTCAAAACGTGAAAGTTACAAGTTGGTACTTGTATTCGATCGGAAGTTTGGAACTTTTAAAGTAGAGGGTGCAATTGATTGCAAACGTGCATTTTTAAGCTCATTTACCAAGTCGATAAAAATCCGGAATAACGGCGATTTGAACAAACTTTTCAATACTTTTGGACTCATCTGCTTTCTGCATTTTCTAAAAGTTTCAAGTTACTACTTGCCTTATATTTAAAGTTACGAATTTTTTAAGCATCGGCTGCAGTTGAGTGGAAACTTTAATTTTTAAGTTAATATTTAACGAGCCGGTCAAAATATGCATAAAAAGAGATTTAACTGAAATTTTCGGTGCCTTCGACATCGTGGATCTTCGTCAAAGTGTGAAAGTGTAAAGTTAGTACTTACATTAGATCAGAAGTTACGAATTTTTAAAGTAGAGGGTGCAATTCATTGCAAACGATTATTTTGAGGCCAACATTTACCTAGTCGGTGAAAATCAGGATAGGGAGCGATTTGAATTAAATTGTCAGCATTTTAGGATTCAATTATATTCTGTAGATTGTTAACGTTTCAAGTCACTACGTGTTTTAGACTGGAAGTTAAGAATTTTTCAAGCAGTGGCGGCAGATGATTGAAAAGTTTCATTTTAAGTTAATTTGTACCAAGTTACTAAAAATCTGCAAATTGGAGGATTTCAATGAAAAATTGAGGACTTTGACATTGATGTGTTGGCTTCAAAGTGTGAAAGTCGTAAGTTGGTACTTGTATGTATTCGATCGGAAGTTTGGAACTTTTAAAGTAGAGGATTGATTGCAAACGAGTATTTTTAAGCTTACATTTACCAAGTCGATAAAAATTCTGAATAACGGCGATTTGAATAAAATTAGTAATTCGCTTGGACTCGATTGTTTCCAGCATATCCTGAAAGTTTGAAGTTACTACTTGCCTTATATTGGAAGTGACGAATTTTTGAAGCAGCGGGTGCAGTTAAGTGGACACTTTCATTTTCAAGTTAATACTTAACGAGTCGGCAAAAATCGGCATAAAAATGGATTTAACTGAAATTCTCCGTGCGTTCGACATCCTGGATCTTCGTCAAAGTGTGAAATTTTAGAATTAGTACTTCCGTTAGATCAGAAGTTACGAATGTTTAAAGTAGAGGATGTAATTGATTGCAAACGGGTATTTTTA